ATAGAAATAATAAACTTAATGGAAGATGATGAAGATGATTTTTTTGCTTATCAAACAGCAAAATCATTGAATAATAAACGAACACAATTAAAACAATTTTTGCAAGCGTAATTCACTATTTTTTTTTAAAATTAAGTAGAAATAAATAAAAAAAAAAAATTTTTTATTTATTTAGTCCTGTAACTTCTCAGCAATTATCAAGTTCTAGTAATTCAGATTCAGATAGTGAAAATGATTTAATTTCAATAAAAAAAACCAAATCAAAATCTGTTGATATTCCTACTCAATCAATTATTATTCAAACTGAAACAATTAAAACCAAAGATGTAGTTAAAAATGAAATCGATGCAATTGTTACATCATGTTTTACATCAACAAATAAAGAAGTTAAACGAAAAATTAAATTAGGAAAACGAACTGCAGCCGATGATCAAGAATATGAAAATGAAGATGAATATTTAACATATTTTTTGGATCAAAGTAGAAATAGAAGTAGAAATCGAAATATTAGCAGGTATTTGATATACAAAAAAAAAAGTTTAAGTAATTATTAATCATTTAAATATTTAATTCATTTATTTTTAGAGCACAAATGAATTTATTAAATAAAAGTCAATTAGAAGAAGATGATGAAAAAGTTACACGTGAAACTGCTGCTTATAATCGATTAGATGCTGTATTACGTGTTACGAAACCTTTATGTGAAAAACAAATCGAATCGATCGATTATGATGAAGATGACGATGATGAAGAAGAAAACGAACCGATAAAAACAAGTGAGAATATATCTTTTCTTATGTGAACATGTTTGGTTGAATGGTCTACATCAATATTGAATGTTAGTACCATGGTTCGAGTCTTTCTCTTAGCACATGAAAGAAAGACACTATGATTAATGTTCTAATTTCGATATTGGTTTTCGTTCAATGAAAACTAATAATAAGAAATGAGAAAACATATGAACGGGCGGTATGAGTGTCTTTAAATAAAAAAAATAAAATAAAAATGTTAACCAATTGATGAATCTTCAACTTGCCCTCTCTAAGAAAAGTAATGCTGAGCCTATACTAACGGTACATAATACTGATGGTTAACAAAAAAAAACAGAATTTTTTAAATTTTTTTTTGTTAAATTTCTTTTAGACATATCAAATGGTATAGATGTAATTGATCCAGTTGAAACACTTTCATTTGATACAATAACATTAAAAATTGATCATTCTGATGGACGTCAATTAACATTATCATTACCATTATCAACAACATTAAAAAATCTTTATGATCAAGTAGCTAAACGTTTATCTTTACCATCAATATATCTTGTATATAATAATCAAACATTAAAATTAGATGATAATAATCAATCAATGACACTAAAACAATTGAATTTTTCATCAGATAATATTCAATTACTTGAATCTTATCCATTAGTACGTAAACTTAAAATATTTATTCAAACATCTTCTTCATCTTCAGGTAATACATCACAAAAAAAAAAAAAAAACATAACCTTTTTCAATTTAGGTCGTCGTTCATCTTTCATACCGAAACGTGAATATAAAATGTTGGATACAGATCGTTTTGAAATAATATTTGAAACATACAAACATGATGTTAAATCAACTAATATTCGATTTGAATTTGATGGTTATACACTTCATCCACATGCAACTCCAAGTGATTATGATATGACTGATGGAGAAATTCTTGATGCATTTATTTTATCAACATCGAGCAATACTAATAAACAAAACAATCAAACAAAAACAAAGAAAACAAAAGAAATTATTTTTGATGATGATTCAGATAATTAATTAAGATAATCTCTAGTCTAGATATATCCTTACATTTCTGTTTGTACATGCTAGTTTTTTTTTTGGTCTGACTTTTTTTTTGATTGTAAAGATGAACTTTCATTTCGATTAAATTTATGACTAAAGATCTGAATACGAAAGAAAAAAAAAAGATGTTATCTATAGTATCCAATTTTATTTTATTAAATGAACCGAATCATAATGATACAAGATACAACATTTGTTTTGCAAAATTTTATATTTTCCTTAGATCAGACGTTAAATTGGTTTTGTTCCAATGCAAATTATAACAAGTCTGATCCGATAATGATCTGTTGTAATCAAAAGACAAACTTATTTTATTACATTGAAGTTTATTATCTTTATACTTTTGTAAAAAAAAACATGTTTTCTCCATTGTCTTGTTGAAATGATATAATTCAAAAAAGCTTGAAAACACAAAAACTCGAAATTCTGGAAAAAAAAAAGAAAAACTCTCGATTGATATAAGTGCTGAGAGGAAATTAGCTAAGTAGTAATAGAAATAGAGGAAATTTTTCGACGGTTTTACAGAAATTTGTTGAAACTACAATAGGCAACAATTCTTTTTTGGATTATTAGGACGAAATCTTTAGAATGCATGTCTTGTACCAATGCAGATATAGATTGTTAGACTGGAGCACTTAGAATTATTTAATACGACGAATTCATTGCAGTAAACATGATTTTAGAATTCAAGAGTTAGGATAGTTTGTTTTCATACTTATTCAATATTCGTTTCATCATTTAACTAGATATTCAGAAACATCACATGAGAAATGTCAAGCACATTTATTCTCTAGACATGATTTTATGTCTTTTTGATTAGTGTTTAGCAAATTTTTAGTCAGAAGTTTACTATCGGAGGTGAAAATAATTAAATATTTGGAATCAGTATAGAGAACCGTAGGAATGTATCAACACCAATAGCAATAGGCGATGGTACCTGGCCAAAAAAAATCAAGCTCGCTAATTTTACGTTACCAATTATAGATTCGGACTCCTCAACTCTAACAAACTTTCAAAAAACATCGTTACTTTTCCGGCGTTGCATTCACACAACGAAAAAAAATCATGAATCTCTAATTGTTTTCTCGAAATTAATACCAATACCATATTAATGTGGTTACATCTCTAGGAAGCATTTCACAATAGGGGCGACCAGTCCTGCTCAATTAATATCACGAATTAGAATGAAACTTTGCCTGTATGCAGCTTCAACTAAGATGTAGAAATGACAAAAATTTGAGCTAATAAAATTGTTTCATTGTTGAGATAGTCAATCTTCAACAGACGGGCTCTAATATGAAAAGATGAGGATAACGATTGAAGTACTTATACATTGAATATATCATTAGGAACTAAATACTACTACTCCATAGTTATGAGCAGCAATATTTAAAACATTGACTTTTTGTATTAGAAGCGGACAAAAATCTTTTCTGGTACATATATGTATGAGCTAATATTGAGACAATTACGATCCACACTTCTAGAAAAACTGCTCAGTTGATAATCACCAATTTGACTAATTGTTGGTATATATCTACAGAAGATAGTGTTCAATGAATTTCTATGAAAATGACTGAAAGAATGATTTGTAACCGATTAATCGCGAGGAAGGTCAAACTTATAGAAGCAATATTAGCAAGTTCTTAAAATACGAACTGGAGACTATAAGATGATTTAAAATGTATACTCGAAATCGTTCAAAAAATCAATAAAAAATAAGTCATCATGTAAAATAAGGTTTTAAATAGTTTGAATTAACATATAATCATCTATCATCTGACATAACTCTATTGAAAAGAACAAAAAAGAACTGTTGACTTCAGAGCCCTTAAAAGAATACCAAAGTTCGAGGACATTTTTTTCCTTCACGACACAATCAATGTTTACAGTCACACTGACCTCAGTATTCTTATTTTACCTAGATATTCAGAGTCCCAATTCAACAAGTTTAGGAAAGAACAAAAAAAAAAAGAACTTTTATTAAATACTTCTACCTATATTCTTCTTTCAGATCTAGAAGTCGCATATTTTGTTTTTCTATTTTCGAAATAGTTGTCTATGTCACGCAGTAGAGAAGGATGCCCTAGTCAGTACTATATATGAATTCATCTCACAGGAGAAGTCAATTTTAGTGGACTGTATTGATTTTATGATTTATAGCTCATTAAACAGATCAAAGAGTCTACTCTCGAAGACACTATAGATTATTAAATGTATGATGATATTTTAAGATGATATTATCCAGGCTTCTCCGAACTCTCACAGATAGACAAGAAAAAGGAAAAAACAATTTTTAAACATCATGAATTTCAACTGTTAAAACAGTGTGATATGTCCACATAAACGCATTTAAACTACTTAAAAACATTTACGTAGTTGTTTAATACGTCTTTTCCATTCTAACGGGCAATGTTTAAATGTATGTGACTGTTTAAACGCGGTTTACTAGGACATATCAAACAGTTTGGATGAACGTGCTTGCGATTATTAGCGCCGATATGAATCCTCTATTTAGCCACAATTAAACGTATACCAAAACCCAAACCCATCGAAATCTCACACCCATACCATGATCTAAATTTGAGAGATCTCTATAGTTCAATGACTCCTAGAAATTTCTTTGAGAATCACTCGACGATTCTTGGCAATCAGTTTGGCGACTTCGACAAGATTCATCAGGAATATTATGTTTCGCAACGCTTTTAAATGGTCTGTAAGTAAAAATTCACTAGAGAATACATGTGTGTCACTTAAGAAAAGTGATGAAATTTTACAAGGCAAGATCTGCAGTAACAGAATTGATGAAAAGAAATGAAGAAAAAATCTACAAAAGAAAAAAATAAATAATCATTAGTGGAAGAGTCGTATATATTTGATCTGCATGCACTTTTTGTTTGCATCGAAATATTCTTGAGCTTTTCTTTAACTTGAAAAAAGTTGAAGGGTGTTGTGAATCAATTTAACATCATTTTGTCCAAAAACAACTGGTTAAAAAAAGAATCATGACCTTACAACTAGCGAGACAGCATTTTAAAAAAGTCTTCGCAGCATGATTCATACGATTTCAAGCAGAATAGGAAAAAAAAATTATTCTCCATTGTAAACAACAACTTACTCTATATAATAAGCAAGTTTAATCACTGCTAAAACTGACATATGCCAGCAAATCGAATGTCACGAAATTTATTGTTAAGTAATTTTTTGAATCGGTTTAAATCTAAAGTAAGTCTTTGTATACATATTAACATTTTAATATTGAAATACAGTTCGTAGAAGATGGTTATCAATCGCTAGATACTACTGAATGTGAAGAATTTATTTTTTCATCATCTTCTTCTGAGAACTCTCGAAGAACATCCATTGCTAGTGATATATCATCGTCAGAACAACATCAAGATACAAACGACCTTGGTGATAAATCAGAGAACGAAGAACATATTCATTATGGCCTGGCAAAACGAATTACATCTGAAAATTCTCAAGAAAATTTTCAAATTTTTTATGAAATTCACAATGGCTTTACATCAGATCAAGTATCAATTATTGAAAATGCTTTACAAATTGTTGCTGATAGATTATTTAAACCAGAAATTCTACGAAATCTATATCAAATTTGTGGTACATCTGGCTGTTTCTTAACAGAAGGAGTATTGTCACAGTCAAACTTAATACAAAATTCGATTTATTACAATAAATATCTATTATTACATTATCAATTAATGTGTCTGAAAGCTCAAAGTGAAAATGGTAAAATTCCTATCATCAATATTTATCCGATTCATGAAAAAGATCAAAAAGAAAGTAAACATTCTCTTCCATGTATCTTTTGTATTTCTCATGGATCATCATTTTTAATTGATGGTGAATTTGAAATTGAATTAAATCAAGATAAACTTAATGGATCAGTTAAAAACAGTTCAAATGCATTATTTTGGGCTGGAGAAATTGTTTATGAAATGCTTCGAAATTTAGGTCATCAATTTAATGGAAATCGTTGCACAAATCGATCACAAATTGATGTTTTCAAACAATGTTTTCTACATAATGGAAATTATATTCCTATTAAAAAAAAATGAACTTTCAACATTTCGAAAGTTTAATTATATATTGTTTTTATTTGTCATAATGAATAAGAGGACATTTTAATAGATATGATAATATTTATCGCTCTGTAAAAAAAAAGTAAATATGACCAATATAATATTCAAATTTTGATGAATTTTTATTATTATGTCTTTTGACATGTCCGATTGACACTCAATGGCTTCTATTAGTAGTAACCTGACTCAACTGCGTAGTTAACAAAAACATACTACGAAATCCGAAATACATCTTTGTTAAAATTGCGCTACGCAAATACTAAAAAAAAACACAGATTGGTGCAGTTTCTTTTTTTTTTCATATAGAACTCACACTCATAAAATTTTCTATTAACTTGTTGTAAATGAGCTGAAAGATAAAAATTTCTTCCCTAAAAAAAGAAATCATCTTATGCCATCAAGAGTATAGTTCTGAGATAAGTAAGAAAAAAATAGATTGCCATTGATGATGTAAAATACCACACCTACAACCAATAAATGTTTACAAAAAAAAAAAAAAAACATCAACTTCATTATGAAATATAAATTAGCAATTACAAGAAATAGATCATCTTCATCGCAGGTGAAAAGATGTCATCATTGATCTTATGTTCCGATTTTTTTTTTTCGATTACCAACAGTCGAAAATAAGTCAGAATGTATCTATTGATTGTATTCAAATTTTAATGTAAAAAATCAATTGAATTGATTTCTTTTCCAATGTGTTTGTTTCAACATTCTTCAAAAACAAACACTATAATAATAATAGAGTACTTTCACACTAACCTTAAATTAGAAAAAAAAGCTTCTTCAAAAAAAACAAATAATTAAGTTTTTCTGCAAATTAGTGTTAGATTTGCCATAAAAAAAGTCAATCTCTTAGAATAGACAAAAAGATAATATTCGAAATCATCACAACAAACAGTTTAATATGACAGAGAATCTATTGGTACAATGTCAAAAGATGTGTGTCTTAAAATAATATGCCACCGTAGACAATTTCAAACTATCGATATTTATCAAATATATGAGAAAATTTAAGATTACGGTTAAGTTCATCTTTCATGTATTTCATATAATCTAATTTGTTTCAATAATTCTTAATTCAAATTTGAATTAAATCGTTATCATCTATGTATGTTTGTCAAAATTATATGAGTTTAGTGTATTGAATAATTTTAATTACGATTGCTAAGATACAAATTTTATGTTTTCGAAAAATTTTTTTATCTCTATAATGACAATTAAATTAATTAGAAAAATTGTATTATAAGGTTTAATTAAAATAGCCAACTTAATATATAAAAAGAATAGCTTTTAAGAATTTTATCTAAAGTAATTTATCTTTCTATATACATAGTAGCTACGAAATTAATAAAACTTCAACATATATTTCAAAATTCTTTTGAATATACAAAAAATGAATCGTTTTTATTCCATGATAGGAGAGAAAAATTTGAAAAAAAAAGAAAACACTTCTGTTAAGTTAAAGGTAAACTTAAAGACATACATCATGTGGATAGATTAAAAATAATTTAAGACAAACTTTAACTTGTCAAATAAAACAGACGCTTTTTCTTTGAATGTGGTTAAAATGAAAACGAATATTTACGTTATTTTTCTTGATATTCCCTCTTATGTTTTTTTTTCCATCGTCAATATTTGTTTTTCATTGTTCTGACATTAGAGTATTTTCAAGAAAGCGTCACGATTTTTTTTTAATATGTTGTCATCTGAAACAATTCTCTATTAAAATGTATCTTAACTAATCCGATTTAATATGACACACTATTCTTTGTAATCATGTAAATCTTAAACTTATTTCTGAAACAAATATATGTAGATTTTAATTTGTATATGCGGATGTTTGTGACCAATAGAAAAAATCACTGTATCTAAAACAAAATTAGCAAGAGTGGAACAATAACTACACATTTTTTTTTAAAATCTTTTTCAAGTTCAAAAAAGTTCTCTAATTCAACATAATAATTTTGAATAGTAATACGAATTGTCCAACATGACTGTCAATGTCTCAATCATGAATCTCTTTATGAATATCATTTGTGTTTGCTTCAATAATGTGACATTGTATAACTGTTCGAAATAATGATCGACATGACACAACAGTAAATAAAATCGGCTTAAATCACATTTATAAATAATTTAAGTATTTGTTTAGTAATACAAACACAGTGACATACTAATTTATCACAGCATTCGATCAATCACAGTACATACTTTTTTTATCTAGGGATATCAATTAATGTATTTTAAGGGGGGAGGGAGGGGTCGTGGTTTCTACTTTTTCGATTTAATATCCTCATTCGATAGGTAGCGAGCTACCGTTTGTTTTAAATAAAAGAAGAGACCTGTATCTAGAAACGTATATATCATTTTTTTAGAAATTCGATTTCCTTGCGGAGATAAATGGATAACAGTGATGTCAAAAAGCGCTATTTTTCGAGTTAGTGCAGAAAAATGTCTCGAAAATCCGAACCAAATCGAATTTCGAAAAAACGGTACATATATTTGAAGATTTAGGTCTTCTCTTTTATTTAAAACAAACGGCAGCTCTCTACTTCTTCGACAGCCCGAGAAATCGGTACCTTATGAAGATCACTATTTTGAGGACTAATTCGTCAATAACTCATTAAAGCAAAAACCTTATGAGCCAAAAATTTGTAAGAAATTAAGTTAACATAACACACATATTGTCTGAAAATTTCAGCCAAATCGAATCACGAATAACGAAAAACGATTCCTGAGGGGGGGAGCCCCTTATGCTTGCGCCTTGTCTTATATATATAAATATATAATTAAATTTTTTTTTGTTTATTTACTTTGTTTTCTTTCTTCTGTGTTAAAATTGTACTTGATTATTCTCAAACTAGATTAATAAACAATTCAATGTCACAATACATATGATCATGTTTAACACTTTCATTTTCGCCATGGCAATTCCTGCCATAGATATAAGAATCTTCAAATAACTTCAATGAGTTATTTTTGAAAGAACATTGATGTCTATAAAGATTCACTGTAACGTTTCGAGAACCAATCTATCAAATTATACCACTTTGATACCAGCGTATTCCAAGTGATATACTGAAAAACGAACATAGGATGAGAAGTTTATTCCTGATAATTTATTATCCTAGAATTTAAGGAAATGTGATGTATGATAGTTTCTGCAGAGGTAGATTATTTTACATTTTTATGAAAAAGAGTTATTATTCTGAAAGAAAAATCCTTGACAAGAAAGCAACAGATTGAATTTCATTGTCTGCATCCCATCGAAAAAGATCTGATCAAATCCGTTTGAATTCAATAATCGGATAATATCAAATTCAACTGAATATGACGCTTGAAAAAAGTCCAAGAACAGCAAAGTTTGCAGAATATGTTCTTGTATTCTACGGAATTCCAATAGCCAAAAGTCATAACTGACTTTATGTCGAACGACATCCGATATAATCTTTCTCAATTGAGATTGAGCATGAAACATCTAGCTTAAGAAGATTCTTGTGGCGTAATTTAATATTCTCATCATATTTCACACAAAACTAAATAAAAAATTCGAAAGAAGCGAGGCCAAAATTTCAATATTAAAAATATTAATTAATTAGACTAGTTAAGTAACAATAACCATTTCATGATGAGATTCACATATCAAGATAACTTAACATGATGAAAAATTTGGTTGAAATATTACGTCAGAAATATTGGAACATATGTATCAAGCTAGCAAGTTGTATCTAAATGATAATAGCACATAAGTAGACCATAATGTCGATAAGCAAACCTGAAAAGAATCGTGCCAATGGACTATTGAAGCTAACATATCAATATTTCGCTAGATTTTCGATTTCAGACAAGTCATTCATGGAAAATCCGAACAACGATGCTTTGACCTGAAATATTGTCGATAAAGAAGCCTCATGGCTATTAGAATATTCTAAAAGTTTTAGCTAAGATCAATGTTCTATGTTTAAGATATTGAATAGCTAGACGACGATCGTCTGTCAGCAAAAAGTAAAAAAGACTGAACAGTTTTGAAATTTCAGCATCGCAAGGATAAAACTTTTGTTTTAGCTAAAAGTTTTAAGACACTCTAATAACCATGAGGTCTCTTTAAAGACTAAATCTCAGGTCAAAATATCATCGTTCAATTTTTTTTTAATGAATAATTTGTCTCAAATCGAAAATCCAGTGAAATGGGAACAAATCGGCTTCAACAGTCCAAGGATACGAATCCCTTCAGGTCTCCGATATAAACATTGATGTCTACTTGGTAGCAAAATATGAACTGCAAGTCGAGGAAATACTTCGAGTACTTTCCTGGTTAGTCCTATTTTAAAAGAATTAATTTAGTTAATGTTGCTTTTTCCGATCTTTTCTTTTGAGTTTGTTATGATAGGCTTTGCCTAAAAAATAATTTTCTCAATGAACAACAGAACTTTTAACTATGATATTTAATCATGATCTCGATTCGAGTACTTTAATTCTTTAAATTTTGCTCCTACACATCTCAAAACAAGATAGCTAGTCTTCAAACGAAAAAAAAAAATCAGTTAATAAAAACCATTTGAATCCTATGAATTTTTAAAACTAGTGTACATCTGGCTACTGTATACCACTGTCAAACACTTTGACAAAACAATCTCCCAAGTTATCAGGGTGTTCAATTTGCCTCAAGCATAATAATACAGTGATGATCAAAACACGACTTAGAAATTTTTTGAGAATTCTTTGAGTTTTTTTTTTAGTCTATTTATGAGAATTCTTGACTGATTTGTCATTGTCAGTACAATTTTCAGATTTCGATTTATGTTCGAATGTGGCTACAATAGCATGGTGATCCGTTGCTTGATGAGTATCTATAATGAAACATTCTTTTAATAACCATTCATCGTTAGACAATGGATGAAGAAAGATATAATCGATACGAGTTCCATATGGACATGTTGCTACTTGTTCATCTTTTAATTTCGGATTTACATGTCGAAAGGCATCCTGAAAACCCCAGGTATCGGTTAATAGTTGAGTGAGTTCGAATCTGGGCATTTCCCATCCAGCTTTTTCGCGTTTTCCAGTCACGATTTCATGAAAATATTTATCTGAATAATCATTTCGTGTCAATGCATTCATATCACCGACAAGTACATTTATATTATGACTATGCGGAGAAAATTCTTTAATTTGCATCAATCGATCATCTTCATTTAAGTGATCTAAATGTGTAACTGCAAATCTTCGATTTTGAACAAATGGATGGGAACCACCAAAACAACATCGAAGCATTGCTCGATAGCCACCATCAACGTTTATTTTTGATTTTTGATTAGAATACTCAACAATTGGATGACGAGAGGCGATGGCATTGCCATACGAATTTCCATGACTTGCTCCAAATATAGAATGCTCTAATGATAGATTATCACACAGAAGTTTCCAATCGTAATCGTTTTTAACTTCTTCTACGGCGAGAACGTCTAGATTAAATGGATCAAGAATCGATGCTAGTTCTTGTGCATTACTTCGACACGTTTTTGGATGTCTAAATACATGAACATTGACAGTACCAATGCGAAAATCTTTAATCATTGATGGATCATAAGTCATCTCCAAACTCCACACACAATATTTTGTTTTTTTCTAATATCTAGAGAATAAAGAGATTTATGCTAATCTGTCCTATGTAGTTACTCTTGGTTCAACACCAGCTAGAAAACAAAGGATAACACTTTCATTTATTTTCTCTCTTCATCGAAATATTTACTCTTTTTCTTTTTATCCTTCGATACATTTTCTCCCATGATGTCATTTTTTCTTTATATGAATTCAAAGAAACTTGTTTATCAATTTATCTCAGTTTGAGTAATTGCGCTCGTATTAATATTTAGTAATATTCTATTCTTGAATCTAAGCCTTTTTCAAAACGGAAAAAATCTGAAGTCAATCCAACATTGTATCGATAAGAAACGAGTTTTAAAATCTATCTAAAAATAGAGTCCTATCATATAGGATCCCCACTGTCATCAGTATCATTTTCTTGATGAAATTTTCGATAAGAACACAAGATTGACAACTGATAGAAAGCAAACATATTTAAAAAATACATGAAAAGATGATGAAATAATGTGGTTATGATAGTTGTTACTCACATTTTCATCACACATCAAAAGTTAACTATGCTCAAATTATAAATTTGATCTAATATTGTGCGAGAGAAAAAATTGTAACAACACGTATATATCATGTTTTTTTGAAACGAAAAAAAAAATGAATTACACAACCGATAGTAACACAGGAGTTTTTCGAACAACAGAAAAACGAAATAAGACACTTGTAAAAACATTGAAGTGGTTGCTTCTTTGCTTTCTTCTTCAATTTACAGATGACATCATTTTCTATATATATATATGTTTGTGCAAATATTTTGCAATGTCTACAAAGATCAAATAATGCTGTATATTCACTAGCAAAAGAAGGGTATGGGTGTACATTGTGTCTGTATTTACATCCAGATCCTTAAATAGAAAATAAATAACTATATTAAATAACAAAAAATACTAGTCTTGAATAACTTTATTCACTAATATGTTTTAAAGTAAATAAAATGACTTCAAATAAATTAGAGTTTATTCAATTCAAGGAGCTTCTATGAAATAAAATGTATAAGAAGAGATATTATTCATGAGTGTAGTCTGAAACAAATTATGAATAATCATAGTGCCATGACTAACTTCTGCATATAAGTTATCAAAATTCTGCGATACATTTACGTAAGAATGATGCAGAAATACAAAAAAAAATATTTGAACAGATATACAATTATCTAAATGAAGTTATTAGAAGTAGCATGGAATTTGACGTAGATGTACTGTTTCCTTCCTAAGAGATTCAATCATGCTTCGGCATTTCCACCGAGAATTTCTAAAATCATGCATATAATAATCGTTCATAACCATTTATGGGTCACGCACGCTGGAATATGACTACATTTGATGATCAATTAAGCTTCATTCACGAGGAAACATTCCCAAGTGATACCCGCCGTTTCAGCTCATATTATGCCCAAAAGTAGATCTCGGTAAGACTAGAGAAAATCTAAAAGGGTTCGTGCCATTGCGCCCTTGGAGCCGAGTTATGCCTAATTTACAGAATTTTCGGCCCTTATTAGGGTACTGATTGAAAAATCAAATTACGAAGTTTCCATCTGAAATTTCTAACATAGATAGATATAGTTACACCTAGAATATTCTAGAAGTTTCAGCCGAATAGAATGTTCCTTTGTCGAGTTATTGCATTTTCAATTAAACTCGACTTTTGTGAAATATCTGTCGCA